TGACTGATGGCTCCTCTGATGATCTTTTTATAAGGTACTCTAAAAGATTCTTTCTCAAACAACAAAACAAGAGCCACCAAAGGAGCTCAAGAGTTTGCATTTTCCTCTTGATCTGCTCACCGTCAGTTAGGAGGATAATGATATGATGGGCTGTGGTGGAGACAGGAGTGGGGTTCATCCCCTGTCGCTTCTCCTCCGAGTCCTGTGCAATCATCATTTCATAGACACATCGAAAGCCACTCCCGATGTTGGTTCCAGGCTTCAGTTCATGCACTGGAAAATCAAAATACAAAGTTGACTCGTGCACTAGTTGTTCATCCTTAATGAGTCCCAGTAAGCCTAACAGAGGGAACATGAGATGAAGGGAACTTGGTGCTCTCCGAGTTTGGTTGTTTTCCTGCAGATGTTTCATTACCCAATCTAGGTAACATCATCAGTGCTAGTAAGGAATGGAATTGGCTCTCAGTTTATATTCTAGTGGCTTGCCCTGTCAGTATTGGTGGGGATGATTTTGGAGGTTCTTTGGTTAGGCCAGGGGTAGGCAACCTCGGCTCTTTTATGACTCGTGGACTTCAACTCCCAGAATTCCTGAGCCAGCATGGCTCAGCTTGGAAGCCTCTCCCTTTCCCCTCAGCATGGCTGGCTCAGGAATTCCGGGAGTTGAAGTCCACCAGTCATAAAAGAGCCGAGGTTGCCTACCCCTGGGTTAGGCTGTTTAATGTTGGCTTGTTTGGTAGTTCCTTGATTGAGGTGTTGTTTACTTCTTGATTGTTGGTCTGATGTTGAGCTTAGAGTTCATCTATGCTCATCTGGTCAACCAGGCTCAGAGAGCACTAAGGACCCTTTGTGCTGGACCAGTATAACTCTGGCCAGAGCATATATTAGCTTAAGAACTGTGTTAGAGCAGGGCTTTTCAACCAGTGGTATGGGTACCACCTGTGGTACATTGGCACCTGGCAGGTGGTACGCGACCATCCTACAAAAGTAGTGGGGGAGGGGAATGAACTGAACCGGTGGCAGCACTGCACAAGCCTGAGCGAGAGATGGCTGGAGCTGCAGGGCTGTCAGGGCTCAGTGGAAGCACCAGGATCAGCGCCAGGGTCCAGCTGGAGCTCGGCGCTGATCCTGGCGCTTCTGCTGAGCCCAGAAGAAGCGCCGATCAGCTGGAATGTTGCAGCATCTCCAGGGTCTTGTGATTTACATTCAGATGCTTGGCAACTGATTCATATTTATGATGGTCACAGTGGCCCAGGGTCATGTGAAGTGACCAAAACCTGCTGCAATCATCCAGCAGACGGGGGGGGGGGGAATAAAAACCAAACACTCCACCCCCCACCCCCGCTGCCAATCCTCAACAGAAATGCTCACAACAATGAAAACCTCGGACAGGAGGAAGAGCGCCGCCGGGTGGGCAGGCAGGTGTCTTGCTCGGCTGTGGCTTGGGGGGCACTTCTTTTCAGTGCCGTTGTAACTTTGAACAGTCACTAAGCGAACTGTTGTAAGTCGAGGACTACCTGTACTTTATCATGTTTTTGACACCCTGCTAGGCGACTGGTGGTACTCGGATGTTGCCATGTCCTAAAAGTGGTACAATGGGTGAAAAGGTTGAAAAGCCCTGTGTTAGAGCATTTAGCATTTAAAGGGTTAAATGATGTCTCCTTAAGAGATGGCTTCTGGGAAATGTAGTCTAGTTGTTAGTCAGTCCTATATCTTATTTAGTCAGTGGGAGGGACTTCAATGGTTTATGACAGGATTTCCTGGCTAAGCGTATGTAAAAGCCTTTGGGTAAGACAGACACGCGGTTCCTGTGCTCCAGACGAATATGGGGTTAATCTACCTTTAATTTTTTACACCACAAGAACGGAGAGATTATGATACGTTATGATACGTGCCTCAGAAGAACTCTACTTAACCGTGAGTTATTGTTTAGAGATTCCTGAAGAATAAATAATCTGAATATTAATCCGTCTTTGGAGTTTATCTGTCTGTGACAAGCAGGAATAAAGCAGATCTCTTGTTTGGATCAGAACACCCTTCATTTCAACCCTGAACCATGAGTATTTTCCTTTATTGGAGCATGAGATTAAAAAAAGCATCTCTACAGCTAACATGAATTCAACGCTGATGAGTACATTACAGAGTGTCGCGAGATTTTTAGCCACTCCTCATTTAGCGACTATCTTGATTAGTTGTCGGTGGAGATTCTCAATCATCCAAGTCATGATTGTCCCAAAGGTGCTTTTTATTCAAAAGGCAACTGGACTTTGCTTTTCCTTGAAGACATTTCGCTACTCACCCAAGAAACTTCTTCAGTTCTGACTGAAGGGTGGAGAATGGAAGGATTTATATTCCTTGCAGTCATCTGGTCGTTAGCGCTCTTTCTGAGAGTTGTTGAGATCACTTGGAGGTTTATCTGTACCCTCAGGGTACCTAGTGCAAATAGGTGTGGAAAATTCTTACAACTGCTGAAATCTCCTTTTAGCAGTTCTAAGAAGGTTCCAGACCCATTTACACTATTCAGGTGACCCTGAGGACACAGTTAAACCTCCAGGTGGTCTTGATGACTCTCAGAAAGAGCGCTAACAACCAGGTGACTGGAAGGAATATAAATCCTTCCACCCTGCACCATTCAGTCAGAATTGAAGAAGCTTCTTGGAAAAACAAAGCCCAGTTGCCTTTTGACCAAAAAAAGCACCCTTGGGACTATCTTGGTTAGTGACCATCCGCAATTACAGTGGTAATAAATGACATTCATTTTCCAACCAATTTGCAGGCTTTTACAAGGAAATTTCGTGTGTCTGACCACAGAGGCCTTCAGGGTGAAATTGATTAAAATAAATAAAAAAAATATTTTTTGCTGCCCTCATACATGAAAGAAAGGGCTTGCCTACCACTGCACAAATATACAGATAGTCCTCAATTTACAGCATTCATTTAATGACCATTGAAGATACAACGGCAATGAAAAGAGTGACTTACGGCCATTTTTCATGCGACCGTTGCAGCATCCCCAGGGTCACGTGATGCAAAAGGAAAAGCTTGGCAATGGATTCATATTGATGACGGTCGCAATGTCCGGAGTCATGTGATCACATTTTGTGAACTTCTGCTAGGCAAAGTCAATGGGGAAGCCAGATTCACTTAACAACTGGCTTATTAACTGAAGAACTTCAGATTCACGTTAACAACTGTGACAAGCAAGGTCATAAAACGGGGCCAAACATACAACAAATGTCTTGCTTAGCAACAGACATTTTGGGCTCAATTGTGGTCGTAAGTTGAGAACTACCTGTATTTACATTTCTTTTTTTCTTTTCTTTTTTTTAACCCAGCATGCTCACCATCGGTGCTAATGGAGCTCAGCAATTCAGACACCCAGTCAGCATCGCTACTGTGTGGGTTAATTGTACTCAGAACTATTCTGCTATAAGTGGCAAAAGTCACAATGCCATAATTGGGAAGGAGGTCATAGCTGGAGATCTAAAACAAAACAAAACAAAAAACAAAAAAAAGCCAAGGGGTTAAAAGAAATCCCATTCAACCTCTTCTGATAAATTTTGCTTTAAGTTCCCAAAAAGCAAATGATAAACAGACTTAACCATAGTTTCAATTGGGAAAATGTAACTATTCTAGACCAAGCCAAATCCAAAAATGCCAGGGAATTTCTGGAAGCCTGGCACTCTGACAAATTAGGCATCAGTAGACACATAGACATTAACAACAACTATAGACTAGGCAAAAGAGTCTATCACCCAGCCAAAAAGAGAACAAAAAGACCCAAGCATCTCTCCACCAGCACCCAAATCAGCATAGATTAGCTCCAAGATTGCCATCAGACCAGCAATCAAGTAAACAGTACCCCAATCAAGAAACTGCCAAATATGCCAACAGTAAACAGCCTGACAGGGGTCTTCAAACTTGGCCCTTTTATGACTTGTGGACTTCAACTCCCAGAATTCCTCAGCCAGGCACGAGGAATTCTGGGAGTTGAAGTCCACAAGTCATAAAAGGGCCAGGTTTGAAGACCCCTGCTCTAAGACCACCCCCACCAACATTGACAGGGCAAGGCACTAGAACACGGGTGTCAAATTCGATCATGTCATGTGATGTACCGTGACGTATCACAACATTTTTTTGCCTTTTGCAGAGCCGGGGTGGGCACGCCCTGAGCGTGTGATGCATCCGGCCCGCAGGCCATCAGTTTGACACCCCTGGGCTAGAATAAAAACTGAGAGCAAATTCCAGCCTTACTAGCACTGATGACGTTACCTAGTTTGGTAATGAAATGTCTGCAAGAAAACAAGCAAGTTCAGAGAGCACCAAGGACCATTCAAACCATCTAAGCAAAAAGCAAACTATCTAAGACAGGAGTCCCCAACCTCTGATCCGTGGACCGTGGACCGGTCCGTGGTATGCCCGCAACTGGACCATGCAAACAAGCGATGCTCCATCCGCAGAATGCAGGCAGCATGCAAAACCACGTCCCCTCCAGTCTGCGGAAAAACCTTTCTCCATGGAACCGGTCACAGCTGCCCAAACAGTTGAAGGCCACTGATCTAAGATATTTTGACTCTTGGGTTCAGTTTGCAAGATTTTCATTTTTCATTTTCATTTAATTAAATTTATACCCCGCCCTTCTCCTGGCGGACTCAGGGTGGCTTACAGCAAGTTAAAAAACAGACAAACCATACAAAATACTAAGTTTAAAATACAATTAAAATGAAATATTGATTTTTTGCCGTTTCTTTTTAAAATTATGTTAAAAACCAAATTAAAATCAAATTAAAATCAAATTAAAATATCCCTTAGGCCAGTCCCGCTAGCTGAAATAGCCATGTCTTGAGGGCGCGGCGGAAGGAGGGGAGATCCGGAATGACCCGGATCTCTGGGGGTAATTCGTTCCATAGGGAGGGGGCTCCAACAGAGAAGGCCCTCCCCCTGGGGGTCACCAGCCGGCACTGTCTGACTGACGGCACCCTGAGGAGACCCTCTCTGTGGGAGCGTATCGGCCGATGAGAGGTAATCT